AAATTGACGTAAAAATTTGAGAAATAGTCATGGCTACATATTTTTGGCCAGCACTGTAACATTTCGCTGTACGTGATAGCTCTTCTCATCGACTGTTTCCTCTGTTGTGGTAAGAATTATCTCAACAACTCGACATGATTGAAAGAACCCATACTTAATGAATCCTGAGGGATAGAGCTATAGTTCTCATAAATAGAAAAATAATTTGACTATTTTCACCCTAAAAATATGACTATCATAAGCATTTGTACAAAACAATTTGATAACACATACATGCCTGAATTTGCGACGGCGTGGCTTCTATCTGTTGCTACTACGCTGGCGGCAGCTCATCACCCATCCGGGACGTTCAACCTTAATTACAGCTCCCTGTTATCAAGGCTCTGTGGTTTACGGTATTCTGGGTGTGCTGACCGTAATCTTGCCGCAGTGTTTACGGCTAGAAACCGTAAACACTGCTTGTCTTGGTGGTGACTCCTCCTTGAGAGTCCCATGCATAAGTAGGAAACCTAAATCTACGAAATCTCGCTTTCCAATTCGTGCTTCTCTGCTCAGTTCTGCTTCAAGTTCCTCTTCATTCGTTATAGGTTATGAGCCCAAGTCCAGTCAGTTCCAACGTTGTCCTTCGGGACGACAACTACTTCCTATGGGAGTTCAACGCTCCGATGACTCTTGCCCGCAAGTCTTTGATTAATAACATCGTCATCAAGCCAGAACAAGCCGCGCAGCGCGACACGCCAGAGCGGGAAGCCTCAGACCTGAAGGCTCCGGCGGTCTTAGTCAAGCTCCTCAATCCTACGTACCAATCAATGGTGTGCAATGCGCAATTGTCATTTAGAACATGGAAATGCTACGGCTGTTTTTTGCAAAGCAGAATATGCACAACCGTGTTCAGCTTCGTAAGCAGCTAAGTGATTTTGAGCTTGAAACTGGAGGCGACCTGATAGCGTACCTGATGCAATTTGAGTAATTGAATCTCAAACTCTCTGGCGCAGGTGAACGCATCGATGATGACGTAAGGCTTGTAGTGCTATTGGGCAGTCTGTCTGAGGATTATGATTCTATGGTTCGAATCATCGAAGCGACAAGTGGCGTCACGCTTTTGGATGTGAAAGAGATGCTGCGTCGAGAACATGAGAAGATCACGCGTCGTGACAAGAAAGAAGCTGCATTCAAGGCCAGCTTTTCTCTACGTAAGCCTCGTTCTGCTCGTAATGATGGTGACTTCGATGAAAACAGTCAGAACTGGCTACAATTGACGTCTCAATGGCAACGGTAACGGTGGTCATGGTGCCTGGCAGAATCATGCTCCGCGCAGTAGTGGTAGTCGGTTCAACGGCCACTGTCATGGATGTGGTAAATATGGCCACAAGCGACAAGACTGTACCCAGCAGAAGCAGGGCAGTGGTGATTAGTTCGTCTTCTCGGTGGTCTCCAGTGAGACAAAAGGTAATTCAACGTGATTGTTGGGCAGTGGAGCTAGCTGTCACATGTCTGGAATGTTTGATGATTTTGGTGACTATCGTCAATTGGATACGCCCATCAGTGTGATGGTTACCTATGGGCAAAGACTCCAAGCAAGAGGTGTTGGCCAAGTTCGAATGATTCTCGCTGGTGGTTGTAGTGTCAAGTTTACGAAACTGCTATATGTCCCGCGCCTGGAGAGCGAGCTAGTATCGGTGCCCACGTTGACTGCGCACGGGTCCTCATCCAATTGGATTTTCATGGTACATCGTTAATGATTGATGAGAAGGTGATTGCTCGAATTCCTCGTATTGGTAAAATGTATATATGGCACGTTGGCCAACATGCACTCATGTCGCAGGCGAACGCAAGTGAAGAGTTGAGTGGTGGTGGCAAAACCTGGCATGCTCGTCTTGGACACGTGTTGCAAACTAAGGTAAAGCTGCTGACGGAATCCCGTCGATCGATCACAATGATGATGTCGCTACTGTATGTGACGGCTGTACTCGAGGCAAAATGGTGGCCTCTTCGATTGCTCGCCAATCTGGTAGTGAGGTGAAATCGAATTCACTGTTCAAACTTGCCCACAGCGACGTCATGGGTCCGCTAGCTCAAGACTCGTGGTGGATCTCAGTATGTGGTGACCTCTATTGATGACTTTTGTTGATACGTCAGTGTGTACCCACTGAAGAGCAAAGGTCAACTGTTCCGACAAATTTGTTGAGTTCAAGAAGCTGGTTGAGAACCAGAACGGCGTGAGCATTCGCTGTATTCGCAGTGGCAATGGTGGTGAGTACATCGATGCGAAGTTCAACCGATTCTGTGCAGAAAATGGTATCATTCAACAAACCAGTGTATCATATTCGCCTCAACAAAGCGGCTAGCGGAACGCATGAATTGGACTATCGTGGAAATGCCCGTTCAATGCTTCATTACACGAACGTCGATCGGCAATGGTGGGATGAAGCAGTAGTATTTGCCACAATATCATCAATCGTATTCCGAACACAGCTCGCCCTGACGTGAGTTTACTCGAAGCGTTGACAGGCAAGCAACCATCGTTAGAACATCTAAAGGTATTTGTATCTTCTTAATTTCCAAGATTGACGATCCAAAGCATTCGAAATGGGATTCGAAGGCACATCGATGCACCTTCCTCGGCTTCTCCGACACGGCGAAAGGTTTCCGTGTCTGAGACATTGATGACCTGCGCATTGTGACCACGCGGGCGATTCAGCTTGACGAACGCCTCCCTCCATCGCATCGTACTGTTATGCTGATCCGTTATGGTTGCGATAATTATGTACCACCCATGGAGGACGATGATGACTCTCAAGCTCAACCACTTCCTACTCAACAGAACAATGTAGACGATATGACGGTCGACACCACAAGTGCTACTGAAACTGAGGAAATGGAAGTAGAAGACTCGACGACTAATGCTGATATCCACTCGCTGATGCTAATTTCGGGGGTGAATACCGCTCGCATGCTCCAATTGACACTCAGGCTCGTGTCCCAACCATCCTCTACGTGCTAGCACCCGTTCCAGTTATCCCATGGTTTCCTCATCCAATGCGAGCTCTAGTCAGACAATACGCATGGTTATGCTACCCGCCAGTTGTCCTTGAAGACCGTCTACTTTTCAGCGGTGATCGCACTCGCCCTTACCGACTGGAATTCCGTCAAGCTCGACTGTTGACAAATGGATCCGATCATGCTGTGGATCTTCCCAACGCTTCCCTGGTGATCAACCTGATATTGAGGCTGATGCAGTACCAGAGAGCAAAAGACAACGTGTCGACTCATACGAAATCGCTCTTGCTGTAGTTGATCTGCGTAATTCGTACCAAGAAGCCACGGCAACCACTGAAGCCGCCAAAGAGAAAGAAGCAATCCGAAACGAGATACGCTCTCATGTGACGAATCACACGTCGGATATTGTCACGAAGCCTCGCGGCGATAAAGGGATTAATTCGAAATGAGTGTTTGCTCGAAGGCATGATGAGCGTGGTAACGTGGAGCGAGACAAAGCTCGACTAGTGGCCCGCGGATTCCTCCAGACATACGGTGTTGACTACTTCGATACCTACTCACCTGTGGCCAGCATGGACACCATTTGAACGCTTCTGTCTATATGCTGTGCAAAAGACTATGCGATTCGGCAGTATGACGTCGAAACGGCATTTCTCAACGGTGATCTTGAAGAAACCGTCTACATGCTTCCTCCGGAGGGTATCAAGGTCGAACCTGGCATGGTATGTGAATTACGCCGCAGCTTGTATGGCCTTAAACAGGCTGTATCAGCATGGTTCAAGAATATTCGGTCAGATTTTTAAACAACTCGGGTTCAGTCAATGCCGTGCTGATCCGTGCTTCTTCATCCGACGTCCAGAAGACAACGTCGACGACAGTAGTGTTTACGTGATGTTGTATATGGATGTTTTGTTTGTTGAGAGCAAGGCACAAGCCATTGTTGACGGCTCTGCGACGAACTGCGAGATCATCTCGTGCTTAAGTCGCTCGGTGACGCCCGATATGTGCTCGGAATGGAGATTGCCTACGAGCAAGATAAAGGGCAATTGATCTTGAAGCAAAGTCAGTTTATTACCAAGATGTTAACCATGTTCGGTGGCCTCAATGCCAACGCCGTCCGCAATCCACTGGTTATCGGTCAAGACTTCACCATTAATGCGATGCATGAAGTCTTTGACGATAAGCGTCGGTACCGAGAACTTGTTGGCTCTTTCCCATATGTGGCGAATGCAACCTGGCCTGACATCTCAGTTGCATTCTCGATTCTGTCCCAGTACCTTAATCGACCTACGTCTGCTCATCGGCGCGCCGCGAAACATGCTGTGTTACCTAAAAGGAAAGATTAGAGTCGGTATTCGATACCACAGGGGCAATGGTAATGCGCTTTCACTCCGAGTATTTAGCGATGCGAGCTGGGGTGGGGACAAAGCAAGTCAACGCTTGACGTCTGGCGTACTGGTGATGCTGTGTGGTGGTTCTGTCGTATACAAGAGCAAGCGTCAGTCTACAGTTGCCCTCTCCTCCGCTAAAGCCAAATACATGGCACTCGCACACCTGTACAAGAGGTGCTCTGGATTCGCTCTCTCCTTGGTGAAGTTGGCCTGAAGGCGACCGGTGGCACGATCATCCTGATGGACAACACCTCGCGATTAGTATCGTAAGCAACCAAGGATACACGCCACGTGCCAAGCAACTCAATCAAGGTTGAACGTTACCGATGGATGATGCGTTGCCGCCAGCGTGGTATGATTCATACTTAGTAGCAGCACTACCCCACAACTCGATCACTCTGTGAGACCACACAACTGTCGGAGGTAAACAAGACGCGGTGTCGGGAGCGGCATCGTCAGGAAGTCGGCCAGCTGTGAATCGGTCGGGCCATACTGCAAGCGGGATGAAGCTCTGTTCAACGTGATCGCGTACAAAGTGTGCCCGACAGCTCCTCGTAATCAAGGCTCTGTGGTTTACGGCATTCTGGGTGTGCTGACCGTAATCCTGGAGTTTGGTTTACGGTCCTTAGCCGTAAACACTGCTTGTCTAGGTGGTGACTCATCCTTGAGAGTCGCATGCATATGAAGGAAGCCTAATTCTACAAAATCTCACTTTTCAATTTGTGCTCCTCTGCTCAGTTCTGCTTCAAGTTCCTCTTCATTCGTTAAACCATATCCGTGTTGAAAGGAGTAATGGTGCATCGTTCTTGCAATTTGTATGAAGAACATCACTCACGGTTGATTATTCTCATGTTTACGTATATTGATTGCCACTGAATACACATGATTGCGGGCAATATGTGTGTTCGATATACCATATATGATTGGCTAGTTGAAAAAAATTGTTGTGACTAGAAGGCTTTAAGGTAGCGCTAAAGAACTAAGGACCGTAAAAACCATAAATTTACTTATCAATTTTCCCCTCAACTACTTAAGTGAAGCTTCTCTCCCTGTTGCCGCACTCGTAACGTTGATCCTGGTAGCAGCCTATAAGTGTCCGTGCTTGCCGAACTTGTCTTGAACTTCACACAACCAACTCTGAGACTAGGTCTGCAGTTTAGTGCCATTGTGCTTATCCCGCTAGTCCATTGATAGTGGTCAACTTGGTTGTAGTTCTGTGGGCTAAAGTTGCAAAGCCGTATCAACACTTTTAGTGCAGCTCGGTGGATAACAAGTCAAGTTCATCAGTATCCGACCAACGACATAGTTTTCAGCATTTTAAACAGGTTAGGAGCCCAATGAATGATTCCAACATCAAAATCGAGTTCTTTGACGGCTTTAACCTTACATTGCGGAGTTTCAAGATGAACATGTATCTCATGTCCAAGGGACTATGGTAAACTGTTGCTGGCACGGAAACGTCCTAAACAAAGTAGCAGCAAACACATGCAGCAATCGTGTTGAATGATTCACAGCTCATGCATGTAGTAAACGCGAAAGATGCGCATGAGTCATGGTTGACGCTAGAAGGGTACCATCAAACTAGGGACATGGCGAAAGGATTGTGGTTGAAGTAAAAGTTCTACTCGTTCAAGTACACCGCTGTGAACATCAGTGAACATGTGATGGAGCCGGAGCGGTTAGCTATAGAGATGAAGAGCGCTAATTGCGGTTTAAGCGCAGAAGATATTTGCGCAACACTATTAAGAAGTATACCAGGACCGTATAAGAGTCTGATACAAGCGTCCCGCATGGTAGTAACGCATTTCAGCTTTGCAGATTTGGTGAGCAAACTGATTGCAGAAGAAGTGTGTCAGAAGGAGTCGTCGCGTATTGAGGAGGTGACGGCGATGCTTGTCAACAAGAAGAAGGAAAGCAAGATGCAAAGAAGCAAAATGGTGGATGGTTGAAAGGACCATCGGGCGCATGTTTTAAGTGTGGCAACATTGTGTTCTGATGTAGTACACCAAAGTCCTAGTCGGGTTATCAGTACATCGTGAGTTTCATCTTGATCAAGATTCGGTACACTGTGTTGATCCGATGAGAAAGAAGATGAAGTAATAGAAGCGTTTATCAAATTCTACAATGAGATCAAGACGGCAACCGGTATAAATGTGAGCTTACTGCGTAGCGATAACGGTGTTGAGTACAAAATGGGTCGATGAAGGCATTCTGCAAGTATGCCGATATCAAGCAAAAATACACAACCCTGAAAACACGGATTGGCTGAGCGTACGAATCGCGCTCTATTAGAGATGACGCGCTGCAAGCTAAAGGATAGCAGCTTGGATAAGTAATATTGGTGTGAAGCAATGATGACTGCTGCGGACATTTGCAATGTATTGTAGAATGCTTTGAGCCCAGACTCAAGTCCGTTTGAAATGGTATTAAGGAGAAAGCAGCGTATGGAACATAAGCGTGTCTTTGGCAGCCAATGTTATGCTCATGTGGCAAAGCTAACACGGATGACACGGGAGTAACGTATTATAAACACGGCTATTCTAGACAGCACAAGGTGTATCACGGTTGAATGCAAGCGATGACTCGACTGTGATCTCGCAAAATGATACGTTTGCGGAAAACCCTACCACGGCAAAGTCTCCAGCGAGGGAGAGAGGTGTCATTGATGTCATGACATGGAAGAAGACATGACGGATCATGTGTATGTATGTAAGAGTTCATTGAAAACCTTAGCTTCGAGCGCAAATAAAGATGCAAAGTGATTTCTGAAAAATAAAATGGCCGCCTTGTAAATTCTGTCACATGAACGATATCATGCAAACGCGTTCAGATACTGTCGCGATAACCTAATATTTGCACAAATGTGTCTTAATAATTAAACATCAAAATTGTCTCGGGTCTGACAGAGTCACTTCTTCTTGCTCGCTAAATTGAGTACGAAGGGCTTTGTAAGTGCAACTGGAGTGAGGGTCCTTGTTCTCTCGACCGAAATCAGTACGAAATCAGCACCAAGCGTTCAATACAATACCTCTATAAATATAATTTTCAGGCTTGAAAACCAATCAGCAGCTATTGCTGGGCTAGACAGAGGTCGTGATAGATCCGGAGATGTTTCATTTTTACTAGCGAAGCGGACGACATGGCTAGAAAGAAGCTACAAGGACAGACGAGAGAAATAACAAAATGACGATGGAATCGCGTGAGCTGTTTGGAGTGTTTGAAATGCCTAAGAACTATGTCTTTGGTCGGATACTAACGGACTTTTCTTGTTATCCACCGAGCTGCACTAAAGTGTTACTACGGCTTTGCAGCTTTAGCTCACAGAACTACAACCAAGTTGACCTCAATCAATGGACTAGCGGGATAAGCACAATGGCATCAAAGCGCAGACCTAGTCTCAGAGTTGTTTGTGTGATGTTCAGGACAAGTTCGGCAAGTACAAACACTTATAGGCTGCTACCAGGATCAACCTTGCGAGTGCGGTGACAGGGAGAGGGGCTTGACTTGAGTAGTCGGGAGAAATATCGAGAAGTAAATTTATGTTTGTTTAAGGTCCTTAGCTTGCTAGCGCTACCTCTAAGCCTTCTCGTCACAACAGATTTTCCAACTAGCCAATCATATATCGTATATCAAACACGTGTACGTGTTGCCCGCAATCATGTGTATTCAGTGGCAATCAATTAACGTAATCATGAGAGTGTTCAAACGTGAGTGATGTTCTTCACACAAATTGCAAGAACGATGCACCATCACTCCTTTCAACACTCCCTTGATGTGCATGTTCGATTCTTGGTATCGATTTCAAATTGACAGCTTCGACAAACGCTTCATGCTCTGTTCGAGGTAATGCCTTCGTCATTGCATCCGCAACTATTTCTTGTGTTGGCTTGTACTCAATACTGAGCTCGTTTTGCATTATGTTCTCTCGGATGTAATGATACTTGATGTCGATATGTTTGGTACGTGTGTGATACACTGGATTCGCTGCCAACGCTTGATATATTGTCGTAACAAAATTCACTTAATATTTGAGATCCCTTAGCAATTGCCGTAACTAAACCATTTCCTGTGTCGCACTGTACAAACTCATATATTCTGCTTGTGGCAACAGTCGGTTGACGTTTGGACTTCCACGACACAGCGCTCGAATGAGAAAGAATCTATATCCTGTTGTCGATCGCCTTGTGAATAATCACCTTTCAAATCAGTTCATGTGGACACATAGATATCATTCCTATAAAAGCACAATATTATTATTATTTTCAGCCTGATTTACGATTATAATTTTACGCAAAAAGATATAATAAAACAAACTAGCAGATCTTGGTAGTGGAGCGACAAATGACAATGGTAGAAATCAACCATCCGCGGTATTCGAATAGGTATAGAATGCATGAATGACTGCTGAATTGTCTGTAGGGGTTTATGTTTCAAAATGCAAAATCTTTTCAGATTATTGACGATTATAGTGAAAATATGGACGCGAACCTTGACGCAATCGAGACGATTCCGCGGTTAAAGGCTGTGATTGACTTCCATGCTTTTTGTCAACTTCATCAGAAGCTGACTTGACGACTCATCTTCTAATTTATGCTCTATATAATGTACACAGTAGCTTAGGTTTTAGTCTAGTGCCAGAGTCGAGACCCGACCTCTACAAGACACCAGAAACTCAATATTGCAGACCTGACAATCATATCAGTAATGAAATGAAACTTCTTGGCTGCTTATTATATGTATAGAAGGAGCAGGACATAAAACACAATTTGAAAAACAGTCGGCAACAACAGCTGAATTTAAACATGAGCAATCATTAACTATAAAGACTAGGGCTTAAGCCAAACTGAAGCACTAGATGATCGGCTGTTAACTCAATTTCCTCCACGAAGACGAAGCACAAGGTGTAATGTCGACTCTTTCTGGATATTGTAGTCACTCAGAGTGCGGCCATCTTCCAGCTGCTTTCCAGCAAAAATCAG